GAGGAAGACTGTACCACTTGACTTGTTTTATTTCATTTAACCTTCAGAGAAGCCTCATAAGATGGGTATCTGGCTTATCCTCATTTTATAATGATTTAATGCATTAGCAGTTAAGGACTTTAAATCAACTATTATAATTGGGAATTAAAAGAATGAACAGATGTGAGGCTGGTGGAGTGGCTCAAGTGGTAGAGCACCTGACTAGCAAGCAAGAGGCCATGAGTTCAAACACCAGTAACCACCAGAGAGACAGAGAGAGAGAGAGAGATAGAGATAGAGAGAGAGAGAGAGAGAGAGAGAGAGAATGAGCCAATGTGAAATACCAGTGGACAAGTGGAAACTACCTGAAAGAATCAAATGGAAATTCTAGAACTGATAAGTGCAGTGTCTGAAGTAATTCATTGGTGATCTTAACAACATAGTAGATACAGTAGAAGAAAGATCAGTACATTTGAATATAAATTACTGGAAAATATCTTAAGAGCAAGAAGGACAAAAATTATTTTCAAAGGGAGATTTGAAACAATATTAAGCAGCTTTAATAATATACTGGAGTCCTTGAAAAGTTAATCAGAAAAAAAAAGTATTTGAAGAAAATGAATGGCTCCAAATTTCTCAAGTTGGGGCAAAACATCAACTTAAAAATCCGATAAATTTCATGAATTCCAAGCAGGATAAACACAAAGAATGGCAAAAATGCTAAAAATAAATGATAGGTACAATTCTTTAAAGTAATCAGAGAAAAAACATTGACACATTTTATGGGTGATATGATGATTGCTAACCTTCTATCAGAGATAATGGTGTCCAGATGACAATAGAATAAATATCTTTAAAATGCTGAAAGAAAATATTGCTGATGCAGAATAATCTGCTTTTCAAAACAAAATCCCTCAAAATGAGGGTGAAATAAGGAAATTTTCTAATAAAAAAAAGAGCCAGCAGAATCTTTTACAACAGATCTATGCTCAAGATATACTAAAAGAAGTTATTCAGGATAATGCAAATTGACACCAGACAGAAACTTGGGTAAATATAAAAGAGGATATATTTTCTCCATGTAATGTCTTTAGAGACTGTTTAAAACAAAACAACACTGTATTATGTTGGCTTTTATATATGTAGACGTGGAGTGTGATAGCAACAATAAGGGGATGGAAGAAAGTTCTTACATTTTATATGAGGTAGTATTGTACATGTCATACTGTGATATGATACATACCTATGGCAAGCACTAAAATAATAATTTAAAGAAGAATAGCTAAAATGTTAACAGAGGAATAGAAGTGGGATATTAAAGATAGTCTGGATAACCAAAGAGAGCAAGAAATAAAAGAGAGAGAAAATAAAATACAAATAGAAAAATATGTTGCAAAGTATAAACACAATATCAATAACTATATAAATTGTTAGCGAACTAAATAATTCAATTGAAATAATTGCCAGGGCTGGAGGAGAAAGATTAAACTCCATGCTTTCTCTGAGAAATTCACTTTAAATTATAAAACAAAACACTATATAGATTGAAAACAAATGGTCTGAAACAGATATACCATGCTAAGAATAAGCATTAAAAAGTTAGAATGATTAATATAAAAAAATAAACTTGTAGACAAAGAATATTATCAGAGATAAAGAGTTGAGACATATTTCTTAGTGACTCTAGGGTCAATTTGCAAGACATATCATGTACTCTGAACATGGTATCCATCAATTCTGTGATATTGCATAACCCAAATCTAATTAGTGATCAGGAAACAGAGTAAGTCCAAATTGAGACACTATCTGCCTGGTAACTGGAGTGTTCACAAGTGTTGAAGTCCATGAAAGACAAGAAAAGCTTGAGGAACCATTCTTGATTGAAAGAGACCTGAGAGGCATGCAACTAATAAGTGGCTTGCGATCCAGGGAGAGAAAGGACATCACGTGCAAGGTGAGTAAAATCAGAAAGAGGGCTGCAAATTATCTGGCGATATTGTGTCTGTGGTGGCTGCTTGCTTGTCTGGTGAACTGGGAGGTGAGTATCCCACTGCTCGTAAAAGCATGCTGAAGTATGAAAGGGATGAGGCATCAGACTTGCAACTCACTTTCAGATGATTCTGGAGCACGTATGTCTGCATATCTATCTATCTATCTATCTATCTATCTATCTATCTATCTATCTATCTATCTTGTATGTATGTATCCATTAGTGAAGTATGTATATATGTAACCATCCACTATGTATGTAGACATGTACATATGTATCCATCCATCCATATACCTGACTACTTATGTATCTATCTATCCATCCATATCTATATACATACATATCCATCTACATATCTATGTATCTAGTATGTATGTATGTATCTATCTATCTACCTATCTACCCATCCCTCTATCTATATATCTATCTATCTGCCTAAGAGAGAATGATTAACTTCAGGCAAATGTGATAAGATATTGATGTTGGGGAGTCTGGATGGGGATAGGGGAATTCTTTTGCTCTTCTGGAAGCCCTTCTGTAAGGGTGAAATGGGAAAACAACAAGAGTAACAATAACAATGAGGTTGGGTTGCACCCCAGGAACCCATGAGGTCGGGGGATGAGAGCTAGGAGTGTTGGATGGATGAGGAAAGCATGGCAGGGAGAAGCCAGATGTCCCATTACATAACATTGGAGGAAGACTGTCCCCCTTGCTTGGCTTATTTCATTTAGTTCTCAGAATGGCTGCATGTGAGGAGTACTAGGCTCATCTTTATTTTATAGGTAAGGAAACTGGGGGCTCAGAGTCATCCATTGAACCAGCATTTCCTTAAGTGCTTACTGTGTCAAACATGGGTGAAGTTACACAAAAGCATATTGACTGTGAGGCATGCACATGTGTCACTTAGTGTCAGTACTGGGAGGAAATGCATTAAACATTAATATGCTTAGAGCAGCCATATTTGGGTACTGGGGTTTCAGAAATTACCATTTCCTTCTTCCTTTCTCTTTCTTTTTTTTTTTTTTAGCTGTTTCTAGTTTTCTACATTAAACACATATTGCCTTTGAAATAAGGGAGGGGGCAAGTATTACTTAAAAAATGAACTGGCAGGGTGTGGTGGCACAGATCTGTAATCCTAGCTACTTAGGAGAATTGTGGTTCAAGGCCAGCCTGGAAAAAAAGTGTAAGCTTTTTTGGTGGTGAGCTGTAGTGAAATATTTCTCATTATGAAATCACTGTTGCTTGAGAATTGTTTTTGATGTGGTTTTATTTTTAATCAAAGTAGTGGATAAATGTTTCTTAAAGTGGAGAGCTGACATCCACCTCAATTCTCAGACCTGCGTTTCCCACAGGAAGATCAGGGCAGGGTTACCTCCTCCCCTGCAAGTTTTCCAGACCCCTGTGACACCAGCTTCATTGACAAAGATGACATGTGGAACATCCAGTCTCCACCCAAAGGGAGAGGGTGCCCAGGTAAAAGTACAAGTCTAGTCTCCAAAAAAGGGAGGAGGTCAGCCCAGTGGTGTCACTGTGTCACAGGTGAGACACCTATCCATCTAGGACATCTTCCTCCCCTTTCCTATCCTGAGCACTCTGCAGCAGCCCCCACTCCTGTGGCTTGTGATCTGTCGATATCCCTTGTCAGTCCGCCTCACTGGCCTGAGTGCTTCACAAAGACGGATGCCCCTTGTGCCTCAGTGGTTCTCAAAGCTGTAAGAACTTATTTTTCATGAAGCAGGACCTGACTCAGAGCTGTTGGATGAAATTGGTTTTGTAAGCCATCATAGAGTAAATGAGTGAACACAGACTTCAATGCAGGCGCCAAAATGATGCTTTGGAATGATTTATTGGCCTGAGTGATTAAATCATACTGCTAATTAAAAACAATAACAACAGACCAGCAAGTACACCTGAAGTCTGTCCTTGTTACAATCATAAATATTGACAGAAAAAAAAAAACCAAAAACTAAATGAAAATACATCTAAAATTGCACACTGGTTGTCTTTGGGTAGTGAGATTGTGGGTGATTTTGATGTTTTCCTATTTTCTTGGTGCCTTTAAGCTTTTCTAGAAACAAGTTTTTGTTTTAGGAAAACAATTTTTGAAGCAATATACAGTATTTCTGAGGGAAAAGGGAACAAAGAATGGTAAATTGCGGTCCTTGATTAGAGATGAAGGGTGAAGGACATTTTGGGTAATAAGATACTTGAGTTAAGGGCTTCTTGACCTCTCACACCAACACAGGATCCCTCCCCGCTGTCCTGCAAGGGCAGTCATCTTCCTAGTGGGCATTTCTCCCTCCTAGCTCCAAACACCATCAGTTGGCATGGCAGGCTATTATTTTTTGCTGCTAGGTTAAAGGGGACAGCCAGAACTTGATCCATTAAACAGAAGGCTTGGGAGAAGAACCAGAAGGAAGAAAACCAGCCATGCCTCATTTTGCCTCTTGTTAATTTCTGCAATAAAGCCATCAGAATTTTCCAACACATCAACTAATGTGCAAAAAATGGAGTTTCTGAAAAGTGTTCAGAAAGAAAAGAATGGTAGCCAGATGCCGATGACTCTCGCCTGCAATCTTACCTACTCAGGAGGCAGAGACCAGGAGGATCTCAGTTTGAAGCCAGCCCAGGCAAATAGTTCTTGAGACCCTATCTCAAAAAAAAAAAAAATCACATAAAAGGGCTGGCAGAGTGGCTCAAGGTATAGGCCCTGAGTTTAAACTCCAATAGTGCAAAAAGAAAAAAAAAAGGATGATAGATAAAAAATGAGGAACCTGTTCCTTTTGTGACTATCAGGAAGCAGAACATTAGCTTGTCTGTGTTCAGCCTCTGCCAGAAGTATTTGATTTTACCAAATATAAAATTCTCTCCATGGGCCTGGTGTTGTGGCTCATGCCTGTAATACTAGCTACTTGGGAAATGGAGATCAGAAGTATCAGTGTTTGAAGCCAACCCGGGCAAAAATTTAGTGAGATCCCCCATCTCAACCAATAAGCTGGGTCTGATGGCAAGCACCTGTCATCCCAGCTATGAGGAAAGTGTAAGTAGGAAGATTGCAATCTAGGCCTTTCCAGGCAAAAAGAAAGACCCCAACTGAAAAACAGCCTAACGCAAAGAAGGACTAGAGGTATGGTTCAAGTGTCAGGTCCTGAGTTCAAATTCCAGCACTGTCAAAACAAAACAAAATTCTAAGGGCTTTCTTATTCCACTGCTTATAGCAGTTCCCAAATCCTATTTCTCAGTGTCAAGTTCATCCACCCTGAGCTCTATGTTCCCCAGAGTTTCCAAGAGTCCAGATCCTGCCGAGGCAGCAGAGTAGGGGAGGCTCCATGAGTGGAGTCGGCTGAAGAAATCGCTGTTTCTCAGTTCATTGGTGGGAGTGTTGGGGTTTGCCACAGTGGCTTAGTTTGCAAATGCTAATATTCACAGATCAACATCCTGTGTGGGTCCAAGCCCTCCCCTGACACCCACTATCTTAATTTCTGGAACATCCCACTTCAGTCCTTTCTACCAGGGAGAAGTCCAGGAAAAAGACTGAAGACCCAGACGTGACTTGGTTTAGGCCACCTTTAAACTTCTGACCCTAAGTGGCTATGATTTCATGCTGTGCCAGGTGTCAGAATCCAGTGGGGAGAGCCACACTGTGTCCATTCCTTACCTGGTAGTGTGAGTGGCTTGTCACTCCCACAGGGACCTTGGTCAGCCTCCAGTGGTCTTAGTCAGAACCCAGCAGAGAGTTCCTGCTCTCCTGTGGATGGGGACATAGAGCTGACCCTCTCCAGTCTGTCCATGGAGAGGAAGGGCAGCCACATAGCCACGTGCCTTTGGAACAACTGGCGGAGGTATTTCCGGAATCGCTCACCTACGAAGACATAGATGATTGGGTTGGCACAGCAGTGAGTGTAGGCAATGACCTCCGTCACCTGGATGGCCATGTCTAGCTGTTTGCTCTGTTCACACGGATCAGTGAACAGGAGGTTTTGGAAAGCAGCAACAAGTATACACAGATTATAGGGTGTCCAAAAGAGGAAGAAGATAAGCATAATAACAAAAATCAGACGGACGGCTTTGACTTTCTTCTCATTGGGTCGTTTGAGCAGAATATTAATGATCCCTGTGTAGCAGACAATCATGACAATAAGAGGTAAAATCAATCCTAAAATGTTCAGTTTCAGAGCCTGGAACCGTTTCCAGTCTGTCATGCTTTCAAGAGGGAAATGAGTGCTACAGGTGTAGTGAGTGAACTCCTTCTGGGTCTTGGAAAAGTACAAGCCAGGAATGGAAGCCAAGATGGACACAGCCCAAGTGATGCTACTGGTGATGATGCCAAAGGTGACAGTCCGGGCCCTCAAGGCAAACACAGCATGGACAATGGCCAGGTACCTGTCGATTGTCAACAGAATGATGAAAAAGATTTCACTGTACAACCCTACATAATAAAGCCCAGAGAGCAGCTTACACATGCCATTCCCAAAAACCCAGTTGTCCTTCAACTTGTAATCAATCCAGAAGGGCAGCGTGAAGAGGAAGACCAGGTCAGAAGCAGCCAGGTTGAGGAGATAGATGCTGGTCATGCTTCGAAGCCTCTTGTACTGCATGAGGACCAGGACCACCAGGACATTACCAACCAAGCCAATGATAAACACCAGAGAGTACAACGGTGGCAGCAGTTGTGCCGAAAAGGCCCTCACATCCACCTTCTGGCATGGGGCTGTGTCCCCATAGTCATATTCGGTGGTTATATAGTCCTCTGTGGTGGATGAATTCTCCATGGTGACTTCTCCTGTGGATCAAAGACAATAGTTCCTGTATTTATTTTGCAGTGGGCAACAAAGGCAAGGCATTTCTTCAACCAATTGACAATTATTTATTGATGCCTACTGTCTTCCAGGCCTTGGGGATGAAACAGTGAGCAAGGGAGACCCAGGTCCTATCTGTTCTCATGGACACTATAGGCTTCAGCAAGACAACTTCATGGGCCAGGCATGGTGTATACATGTGTAATCCCAGCTACTCTGGAATCAGAGCTCAGGAGGATCACAGTTTGAAGCCAGCCTGGGAAAAAGGTTAGGAAGATCCCCATCTTAACAAATAAATTGGGTGTGGGGATGCCTGGCCTGTCATCCCAGCTACATAGGGGACATAGGTCCAAGATCATGGTCCGAAGACAGCTTGAGAGCCTATCTAACAAATAACTAAAGGAAAAAAGAGCTCAAGGACATAACTCAAGTGGTAGCAAGCCTGTCTAGCTAATGTGAAGCCTGAGTTCAAGACCCAGTGTGACAAAAAAAAATACAAGTGCACAAATCATTAATTCAATTGTTCAGCAGGGGGTGCTGTAAAGGAAAAATCCACGGGACAAAGGGACATTTTCCCACATTATTCATGGGCTCCCGAGGGCTAAGGCCCATTGTTGTCCCCACTTTAGAAGTGGTGACACAAAGGTGCAGAGTATTTGGAAATGAGCCCAAGGCCCCACACCTGGTGAGAATGAGAGCCAGCGCTCAAAATCCCCAAGGGCGTCACTCTATATCCTGCCCTGAATCCACTTGAACTTCCTGCCTCTAATCACAGTGGTGACCCTGCGCTGTGCAGTCCACAGGCGGACTCTGGACAGGAAAAGAGTCCTGGCTAAGAATCAAAGACTTACAAATAGATCTTTACTGCCTTGGGTCTAAAAAGATTCTCAGCCAAGGGTGACATCGTGTCCCTGGGGGGTGGGCACTTAAAAATGTGTGGGCATTTTTTGGGGGGGATCACAAAGACTGGACGATGCTACTGTCATTTGATAGGCAGGGCCATGAATGTCCTGCAATGTAAACGTTACTCCCAAACACCCACAGAGCGACCATAGTGCAATGCTAGTTGGTCCTCCCCGTTACTCTGTAGAGGACAGCGAGAGTGGCAGAATGGTCCCGTCTGGCCTGTGTCACTTGGCACTTATGTGCACAGGTAGGTCTATGGGTTAACTCCAGAGACCTCCTGTAGAGCCTCAAGGGGGCTTCAGAGGGAAGCATGCATAGAGAAAATGGGATGTGACCTAGAGACAAAAAGAGAGAGAAAACTGGGGGGTCGGAAGAGAAAAGCTCAAAGGCCTTAAGCCATGCAGTGATGTCACAGTGACAGACAACAACTGGACATCTGAAATAAGCTCTTGGATGTTTTTACCCAGGACTGCCTGGCAGCAAAGGAAAAAAGAGCCCCTGGATACCAGGTTGCCTTGAAGGACTTCTCCCAGCCTCCACTTTTTAGCATATCTTTTGAGTCTTTCCCAATTGCTTATTACTTATTTATTGTTTTGGTGGTATTAGGGTTTGAACTCAGGTCTTTGCACTTGCTAGGAGGACCTCTATCACTTGTCCGATTCTCCCAGCCCTTTTTTGCTTTGGTTATCTTTCAGCCAGTGTCTCGTGCTTTGCAATCTTTCTACCATGTAGCTGGGGTTATAGGAGTCCACCAGCATGCCTAGCTCTCTGATTGTTTATTGAAGACACCTCTCCAAAGGAAATATGGGCATTGGTGTTATCTATTAGCTATGTGACCTTGGATAAATTAATTCACTTCTCTGGACAAAGTAACACCTACCTTGCAGGATTACTATAAAAAATATCCCTCTAATCCCCAAGCACTTACCAGACATTCAGTGGGTATCAAGGGACCTCTTTCCCTGCAGTGGGCCTTCTCTGAGGCCTGTCACTACCTGGATGTTCCAGGCTCTAGTCTCGCTCTGACGGATGTAACTTATCTCCAAGTTTCCCCTGCTAGCTTTCTTTGTAGATAAACTAGAAAATGATTTTTCCTGACAAAGATAGACAGTAGCAGTCCCTTTCATGTGAATGATGCTTTGAAGTTTCTAAAAAGGTGATTTCATAGAATCAGAGCCTGGGAAGGGTGTGGGGTGGGGGGGTAATGGGGAGAGAATGGCTAGCGGGTATAGCGTGTAGTTGGATGTTCTATAGCATGGTAGGTAACTATGATTGCCAATAATTAGTTGAATATGTCAAAATAGCTGGGGAAGATTTATAAGGTTCCAAGTTCAAAGACATGATAAATGTCTGAGGTGACAGTCTGATGATTATACAGTGTATACAGGTATTGAAATGTCCCATGACATCCCATAAATGTACACTTACTATGTGTCAGTTAAAGCAAAAATAAGTGAAATTTCATTAAAAATGAATAAAAATAAGTGAAAATTTCAATGTTACTATTGATTGAAATTAGTTTGACCCAAATGACAATCAATTAAGTAGATGACATCTACTTCGCCATTCCTGATTTGAAACTGGGCCTCTGCTACTCTCCCTCTACTCTCTCTAAAGAATGTTTCCCACTTAAAAAATCCACATTCTGCAGTGACCCATGGAAGGCAGAGATATTCTGTTATGGTGTGCAGGAAGGAAGGTAGAATGGGGGGGTCTTTCATTTCCTACCAGACCCAGCCCTAAGACTCACTCTTTCTTCTCTTTCCGATCAGCCCTTGTTCTGGGGAAACCCAGCGGGCAGTCACTAAAGAAGCCATGAGAGAGATGTTTGCCTTTTGCATCCCTCATGACTGCTCACGGGGAGGTCAGCTGAGTTTAGAAGTCAGCACTTCGTGTATGTTGTGGGGTGGGGGGAGCTGAGAGGTTTGCAGTGGAAGCAGCAAAACATAGAAACCACAAAGAGCAGTGGGTACAAGCCTGTCCCCATGAGCCCAGTTCTGAGAAATTTGGTTGAGTCAGCATTGCCAGGTGCCATTTTGAACAGAGTCACCTCTGCCCAGCCTCCAACTCTACCTGTTGTCTAACTTGTCAGGTCCCCCACAACAACTCCAGGGCACGCTGCTTCTAAAAGGAGATGACCTGGGGTGAGGCTTGTAGGAGAAATCAAAGGATCATGTTGCTGTCCAGTCAGGCCTGTTAATAGTCTGCTTCAACAGTCTATCTCAAGGTTGCTGCACAGAGATCAGCTGTAGCCATGGAAACTCCTAGGGCCAGGGTCCTCCTGCTTGGAAGTCTCTGAGCAGAGAAAGGGCAGCTTGTGGTGGTATAAGACACCCAGGCCCAGTGGTGGGCTGGCTGTCTTATTCTGGTTCATAAGAGCCAAATACATGCATCTATCTCTTCCCAGCTCCACATCTGGCATGTTGGAAGCTTGAAATTGACCACATCGGGAGTATTCACACATGGAAATCAGCAAATACTACACATCAGGGCTCTGTTTTTCAGGAAGGTTGTTATTATAGAGCACAGCACTGCCCAGGCTTCACAGACCAAATAGCAGAGCTGTACTGCTTGCTACTTGACGTGAGACCTAAAGGATAGTCAAGCCTGATGGTGGACTATGGAAACTTCAGTGATTTCCAACTCTTCTTTGGAAATATGCAGCCCTCTATGACCCCATATCGAAGAAAACTTGAAGTAGGAACCTGTCATGCCCCACTATCTTCAGCATGTTGGGTAATAGAACAGAACAGATGCATCTCAGCTTCCTGAGCCAGCTTCCTGCCTCTGGATGGGTGAAATTCTCCCTCCAAAGACGGACTGCAGGCAGTCCTGACTTTTGAGTCTCCTTGGCTCTAATCTTCTTAAGAAATTAGATCCATATCAAATCGCCCTGGTGTTGTAAGAGGTACTGAAACTGCTTTAGCTGAAAAGCACAGACCCCTTACTTAGGCCCACAAATTAACTAAAAGCAAGAGAAAAGCCTGGCATCCCTGCCTCCATTTTGTATTCATCCTTGCTCCAAGCCATTCTCTGTGCAGCTACTTTGTAATCACCTTGGGTTCCAGGAAGTACAGAACTGGCTGAAACTACCCCCCAAAAAATAGTAGAGACCCACGAGACAGACTACTCACCAGGCAACAATGACTTGTTCATCCTGATCAGTGATAACACTTCTTTGGACTGAGATAATGACCCACTGGCACACACCTGTGGCTGGGACTGTTTAACTGTACACACCTTTGTTCCCTGCCCTAATTTTTTGTCTGTTTAAAGCTAAAATTCATGTTGACCCTGACGATGACTGAAGATGGGCTGAGTGCTTACTCTGCCTCTTCGTGCAGCACATCTAGGGCTGTGTAATAACCTCCTTTCTCTGCCTTTTACCATGTCTTTGTTTGGTGAATAGGGGTGAGCTGTAGGCCATGACATGTGGAATCCCAGGAGTTTGGGCCTTGGATTCAAAACATCTGCACTGTTTTATTTTCTAATGAATATTTCCCTCTTGCTATAATTTCTTCACACAGCATATTTAGTTTTTCTCTATGTGAGAAAAATTGGCAAGTGATTTCTTTTTAAATAACTTTCCACAGAAGTTGCTTCTTGTCACTTCATACCAGCTGGCTTTCTTAATCACTCACCAACAATCAGTCACTCAAGAAAGCTTCCTTTTTTAGCAATAAACTATTTTACACTTCAACACCCAGCCAGTACTAAAAATCCACCTAGTGTTCTAAGTGTTGATTATTTACAAAGTAGCACTGGGCTACTTATAACATCTCTCTGCCTAGTTCTCAAAGCATTCCCCCTGATCTTGAAGGAACACTGAGCTGCACCCAGGTCTTCAAGCACCATTGCCCTCAACAGTAACTGACAACACAGACAAGACAAGCACCACTTACTCAGCTTCCAAGGGATTTCGTCCACAAGGGCTTTGCTTCTGGTGCTTTTAGCGTCTTTATGAATTCAGGGTTCAAGGTCTTGAACCAAGAAGGAAGTACTCAGCTTCCTGTAAGATGATGGAGATTGGACTCCAGTTTTACAGTCTTTGAGAACGACAAGAAGGCGGGTAAAGTTCTTCTTTTTGTATGGTTGGGTGCTCTGAATGACCACACACCCACCAGCAGTTGCTACTTCCTAAGGGCCAAGTTCACTACAAGGATTTTTTTGCTCACTGTGCTATAGTTCCCTGTTTTCTCCCAGGAGCACTGCCCTAAGGGATTTGTGTAGGGTGAGGTTGGGTGGCTTTGGGCGAGGTAGGTGACAATGAGCTGTCCCCACAACTGTGGAGCAATTGGGTAAGAGCTGGGTTGGGGCAGGGCATGGAGTTCTTGTGGTCGGCGGGTAGATTTATTATTATTTTTTTTAAGATTACAAATGGAAGGATTTAAACAGGAACTCTCACTCTTGTTCCTCAAAATCATCATGTTGATAAACGAGGACCCAAGAGAGTTGGCAGCTTCTCTTTGGGGAGTCTTATCTACCCTACCACTAACTTCTCACTGCCTCTCCTCTGTTTCCCAGTCCCCTCCCCATCAAACTCCTCAGAGTGGCTTCACCTTGAGGACACTCTCACATGGAAGGAGTACAGGTCTATCGGTTGAACTTTGCCTTTCCTGTCTGATCAGTACTCTTGTTTCATGCTGTGGTCAAACATGGGCCACGTTCAAATCCCAGCATTTCCTTACACCCCTCTAAGTCTTATCTCACTCTGCCAAATGAAAATACTGAACAATTATGGTCATAGGAGGATTCAACTTGTACATGAAAGGAAGGGTGTACTTGGTATGGGGGAGGGGTATGGGCATAGTTCCCAAGATAAGTTCCCTGGACTAGCAGTAGCAGCCCCTGGGAACTTTCTTGCAATGCAAAACTAGAGAGTGGGATGAGACTCACTAGTCCCATCCCAGGCCTACTGACTCAGAGATTCCAATGGTGAGACCCAGAAATCTCTTTCAACAAGATCTGCAAGGGATTCTCAGGCATGCTTAAGTGTGGAATCATGGATCTAGATTTTCTCTGGGCCTTTGGCCCAAAGTCCCATGTACTCTTTTTCCAAATGCATGGACTGTTCTGGAAAGAATGAATAAAAATCTCAAATCACATCATTTCTTGGGCACCCTCTCTTGGGACACCCCCCATCCCCAGCCCTGGGGGCTCTACTCTCCCACTTTACACTTTTCTATCTTAATAAACTCTCCTGCTTTACACTTAAAAAACAAAAACAAATAGATGGACTGGACCAGATGTGAACTAGGAAACTTCTTTTGCTCCTTAGCTTGGTTCTAAATAAGAGGTCACCTACTCTGTCTCTCCTTCCTGAACACACACCCAGGTCTATCATCACCCTTCACTAGTGAGAGGCAACCCTCCCCCCACGTACTCCCACGTACACTCCTCAGTCTTGCCACAGCCTAGTACAGTGGAGGGAAGCACAAAGTGACCAAGAGAAATACAAGAGAAACCAGGAGAGAGCAACACCCACCACATCCAGTTCTCTTTTTGGTCCTCTGACTCCTCTCACTAAAAACCTTGAGTGTTATCTTAAGGCTGCCACTTTGTCCTTGACGTGTATCATGGTCTTTTTCCCTGGAGAGCAGGAAAAGGTGTGGGAAACTTCAATCATGTCCAAGAGGCTGCAGGGGGAGTTCACCATGCTGTAGTACTGTGTCCTAGAGAGTCTTCCACCCCAGTCCTTGCACCAAGCAGGAGTATGCTGCTGGAGGTGGATTTTGATGCTGGTGTTTTTAGCTCCTGCAAAGCCCATTGTCCCTGGCATTCTTCAGGGTCAGTCTCATGTATATCTCAACCACAGGGCACTGTCTTTCAGCCACCCCCCACTCCTAAATAAGCAAGGCGTGTGTGGGCACTTTGGAGCTAGGGCCATTGTAGACTAATTCTAGTGACACAACCTCCTGATCAAATCTACAAGAAGGAGAAAGGTTTGAGTCTGCAGACAGCGGTTCCAGAGTTGAAGGAAGGCAGACCAGAAGGGTCTGGCTATGTGTTAAAATCACTAGGGTTCTTTAAAAGCTGCTGATCCTGGGTCTTACACTGGGTCAGACACTATGATTTGATTAGACTGCACTGCACCCTAGGCTCTGAAATTTTAATATGCAAAACATTTTGAGAAACTGGAACCCCTGGGTCAGAGCAGTGGTTCTTAAGCTTATGCATGCATCAGAATCTACAGAAGGCTTGTTAAAATACAGATTTCTAGGCCTCACCTCCAGAAATTCAGATCAGTAAGCCTCAGTCAGGGCCTGAGAACTGGCATTTCTAATATGTTTTGAGAACCATAGGCCTATAGGAATTCCCTGAGATATCTTCTTTTGACTACCCAAAATATAAGGTAAAAAAGTTAAGTCACCTATTCCTGGATCCTATTTCTCATTTTCCTCCCCAAAAGCAATGACAGATACCAAATTCTTGTGTCACTTATAACACACACACACATACACACTCTCTCTCTCTCTCTCTTTTAAAAAATATATAGCTGTATACACACTATTCACAATAGCTAAATTATGGAAACAGCCAAGATGCCCCACCACTGACGAATGGATCAAGAAAACGTGGTATCTATACACAATGGAATTTTACGCAGTCATGAAGAAGAACGAAATGTTATCATTCGCTGGTAAATGGATGGAATTGGAGAACATCATTCTGAGTGAGGTTAGTCTGGCCCAAAAGACCAAAAATCATGTGTTCTCCCTCATATGTGGACATTAGATCAAGGGCAAACACAACAAGGGGATTGAACTTTGATCACATGATAAAGCGAGAGCACACAAGGGAGATATGAGGATAGGTAAGACACCTAAGAAACTAGATGGCATTTGTTGCCCTCAATGCAGAGAAACTAAAGCAGATACTTTAAAGCAACTGAGGCCAATAGGAGAAGGGGACCAGGAACTAGAGAAAAGGTTAGATCAAAAAGAATTAACCTAGAAGGTAACACACATGCACAGGAAATTAATGTGAGTCAACTCCCTGTATAGCTATCCTTATCTCAACCAGCAAAAACCCTTGGTCCTTCCTATTATTGCTTATACCCTCTCTACAACAAAATTAGAGATAAGGGCAAAATAGTTTCTGCTGGGTAGTGAGGGGATGGGGTGGAGAGGGAGGGGGCGGGGGAGAGTTAGGGAGGGAGGGGGTGGGAGAAGAGGGGAGAAGTGACCCAAACATTGCATACACATATGAATAAAAAAAATAAAAAAAAATAAAAAATAAAAAATATATAGCTGTATACATAAAATTCACACCATCTTCTGCTATGGTTTGAATAGTGTCCTCCAAAGGACACTTACTGTGTGTTAAAGGTTTGGTTCCCAGCTTGTGGAATTATTGGGAGGTGGTAGAACCTGTTGGTGGTGGGGCCTAGTGAAAGGAAGTTAGATCACTGGGGGTGTGCCCTGAAGGGACTGTTGGAACCTTGGCCCTTTTTGTCTCTTTCTTTGCTTCCCAGCTGCCATGAGATGAACAGCTTTCACTACCATGTGCTCCTGCCATGATACTCTGCCCCACCACAGGCCCAAGGACAACATGGACTGAAACCATGAACCAAAATAAGACTTTCCTTCTTAAAAATTGTTCCTCTTGGGTATTTTATCATAGTGATGGCCAACTAACACATCTACTATGTTGTGTTTGTCCATTAAAATCATACTGAGAAGGTAATTCTCAACCAACAAACAGAAGTGGCCATTTTGGTAGTGGCTGTAGTCTCTTGATGTGGTGGGAACAGAGAGTAGTGTTGGTGGGGTATACACCTGAAGATTCTACCCTTGAGTTTGTCTAAGACTCTGATTCCTTAATTTGTCATCCACACTCTCATGTCAACTCCATGACCTGACTTTCTGACCCCTCTTCCTTCATCTCACACTTGCTTTTTCATCCTGCATGTGTCACCCATGACATCTGATCTTGACCCAGTCCTGTTATGCTCCTCCTTTCCTGACTCAGCCTCAACATCCAGAAATGCTATATGCTTAATCAAGACAGGGCAGTGCCCAGGCACCTCAGCTTTGTGGAGCCTGGTTGTCACTGAGACAGAATTTTCAGATTCAGCTGCTACATGAGGAGGTTAATTTCCAAGAGAGGGCACAGGGGTGTCCTGACTGTACAGGTCTCTCTGCTGCCACACTGTTTGACTACATGATGAAAGAGGTTAGTTACTTCTGATCCCACGCCATCTCCAGAATACCAAGTTAGATTGGCAAGTGTCTCACAGATAGACAAGAGGGGCCTTGGAAGAAATAAGAGGCTCCTGGGCAGTAACCCACCAGAACACCTTCCATACCACCTCATCCCTCATCTTCCCCTACCTGCCTATCTCATTCTACCTTCCCTGTCTAATTTCCTTCCCACCCTCTCTTTTCACCACCCCTCCTTACTCCATAGTTCTTCTATTAAGGTGGTCATTTCTCCTTCTTAATCTCTATCTCTTATTTCCTACCTGGTCTCTGGCATCTTTAACTCCACAGCATTCTACAAAGTCCAACCTGACAAACCAAGGGGAAAGGATCCAATAGTCATTTGTGCTTTCTCTCTTTGTCTTTGTCTCTCTCTTTCTCTCCCTTGTCCCCCCTCTCTCCTTCTCTCCTGCTCAGCTGTCCCATTATGATAGCTCATGACTTTAAGTGAAAGAGGATGTCGGGCACATCATGTCAGGTTCCTCTCATTCTTCATGGATCATCCAAGGACATACTCTCTCCCTGAAGCTTTCCTATCCTCCACAATAGAAAATTATCAATGAGGGACAGATTCTAGAGTTCTGAGATTCTTAAGTTGTTTGGAGGTGGGGAAATATCTTTGTTGAGAACCTGTTGTATAGATTGGACATTGTATAACCTGGACACTTTTGATAACAAAGAACAAGTCAACTGATTCAAAATAACTCAAAAGAAAAGAGACCATGGTTTTCTTACAAACCTCAATAATAGCTTACTCTCTAGCAGTCTCTTGTTGTAATTCTCGGTGATGTCACTGCCTACATATGTCTTTGTAGCCTGAAAAAAACAACCTCAAAACTTAGGGACTCACAATCACAATGACATTAT